ATATATATATATATATATATATATATATATATACACATATATATATATGTGTGTGTGTATATATATAAAAATATATATAAAGCAAAGTGCACTGAGAAAACAGTATGTTGTGATGTGTAAAAGTATTTAACATTGTCCTCTTACCCAAACTGAATAGTTTTTAGTGTATTGTATCCTTTTAAAGTCATAAAAATAAACTTATTTATGAATCAAGTTTGTCTTTATCTGATATTGTTGTATTTCATTCTCTGAAGTATGTTGTATCTCTGTGAAACGCAGAGATATAGCTGTTTTGCCTGTTTTATCACATCCACGCCCCGTGCTCTGCCTCATTACTATTGGCCTGGCTCCAGACAGGAGGAAGGTGAACTGTACTTTTGCACTTTTAAACCGATCTTGGATCAGTTCTGTGGTTGCGTTTTATGGGGATGATGGGTTGGTTTGAAGGGATGCGTGTCTCGGAGCGGTTTTACAGGGCACCATCTAGCAAACCTGAAAATTATTCACATAGACCGGTATTTTCTGCCTTGCTGATCGGGGAAAATGCTGTTTCTCTGGTCTTCTTTTTTTCTTTTTTTTTTTTTCAAGGCGTAAAAGCCTTGGATGAAATGATAAGCAGCTGAAATGAGCAAACAATATGTTCCCTACATGTCCAAAACTGATCATTTTCAAGACTAAATGATATATAGAAACTACAATGAATCTCAATCTGGTCTTTTTTTCTTTTTTTTTTTTGCCCATAAGCCTTGGATGGATGAAATAAGCAAACAGTAAGTTCCCTGCATGTCCCAAACCTTTCAAATGAATACTAAATAACATATAGAAGCTCAAATTAACCGTGTTGTTAATCATAAATATGACCACCTAGAACATCATGTGGTCTGCCATTGCTTTCAAACACTGTAGCTTCTTGAAACTGAAATTGAAATGACTTCTCAATTGTACTTTTTCATGATCATGTGATGAACAGATTAACTTTTTTACTTGACAAATTTGTCTCAGATTACATGAAATGAAGTCATGCTCTTCATCTTCAGCTGCTTTTACTCCGTTTCTGTTTTATTTTGATATTGCAGTTTTCATTTTAGTTTCAGTCATTTTATGTACTTGTGTTATATTTATTAGATTTTTTTATATTAATATAGCTCTAATTAATTGAATAATTTTAGTACTTCAGTCATTTTAATAAACTTTTTTTGTTTCAGTTAGTTGCCAAAGAAACATCCTTAATTTTGATTCAAGTTTTTCATCTAATATTTATATTTTATTTCAGATTTATTTTAAGCAATCTATCAGCACATACTCTCAGGAGATGCTGTCTAAGCATTTGAAAATTATATATTACACTAACACTGAATTGAAAAAATTAATTATTTCTTTTTATAACTCAAACTTAATCTGGTGGCATTTATTAAAAATGTCCTAAAAATAATAGTAATGACACAGAACAGTCATTTCAGAGATATTTTCAGTTGATTCACCTCACATGTGAAATGGAAATGACTCTTTGCAAACCAGTAATTCAACTCTTAAAGAAAGATAAACGTCCTGATTAATCACAGCACCATCAAAAGCAGACAAAAGGGAGGAACTAGAGATGGTTTAACCACAGGTCCAAAAAATGCAAACAGCTAGTTTAGATGCCCCTGATCTATTATCTATCAACCCTATAAAAACATTCACTTACTCACACACAAATATACACGGCTGTCTAATATATATATATATATACATACATACATACATACATATATATAATTTTTATAATTGATTATTTATATTGTGTACATTTTTGCATAAACCTCCCTAAATTGTTAAATAAAGATATAATAAGATAAATAAAATAAATCATTTATATCATTCATATACTTTGTTTCTTAGTGTGTTTGTGTGTGTAAATAATATATATATAAACGTCCAGAGCAGATAGCATCTTTTGCGATCATATAGGTGTGGCACATGCATACAGCCTCAGCTAAATGACAAGTAAATTAAGGAGTGTTAGCATAGCAAACTATGTTTATTTAGAAATATTTAGTGAGGTTTAAGAGAACACAGGTTATCAATCTGTTCAATGCTGTATGAAAATATTTGTGCATTATGAAAGTGGTCATGAAGTACCTACACAATGTGCATAAATGTGGTAGGCTATATTGTCATTATATATTTCCTATTTTGAAATCCGACTAAGACTACAGAATGGGACCAAGATAGACCAAACTACCATTTAAAAGTAAAAGACGCCTTTGATGATGAGAAGCATCAGCCAAACAGGTGAGGATGAGGTGGCGAATAATTAAGTCTGTAGTGCCTCCTAGTGACCTTATAACGACATTGCAACAGTTTTTTTCCTCCACAAAATCCTGATGCACATGATGGTCAATGTAGCAAGCAATTAGTAATGTTGCACATGCTTTGTTTTAAGAATTGTATTTGGGCGCATTTATATTCCCTATAAATATTAATTTAAGAATACATTAATGTGCTTCCAATGTAAACACGAGCAATACTATCATAACAAAAAACATTGATACTATATGAGTAAAAGTAGCCTACAGTGTCAACAAAAACAAATATTAAAAAACAACATAACTGACTGTACTAACTGGTTAATGTGGTAGCAATTAGAATAAAATATGTAATTATTTATGGGGATGATTATTATTACAAATGTACTTTTTAAACCCCAGAGTAACAAACTCTCATAGAAGAAAACAAATATTTTTGCTTTTCTCTCTTATTGCTCACTTATATATAGCTTTCTAATAAACCTTGCATTGTATACTACGACTATTGTTGCTTATGTTATTATATTGTAAGTCGCTTTGGATCAAAGCGTCTACTAAATGCCTAAATGTAAATATCAACAAACTGCGAGGATCGCGCTTGGTTTGTTAGGTTAGGTTAGGTACACTTTATTGTCCCTGAGGGAAATTTGTCTTAGGCTCAGAAATACAACCACCACATCACATACAACACATAGTAGTAAAGAATAAAAATAAAAAAAATTATATGCACATATATATATATATACATGTTTGTAATGGTTTGTATTTATTTGGCGTCGAGCAGGAAGCCATAAAATATGTAATTATTTATGGGGATGATTATTATTACAAATGTACTTTTTAAACCCCAGAGTAACAAACTCTCATAGAAGAAAACAAATATTTTTGCTTTTCTCTCTTATTGCTCACTTATATATAGCTTTCTAATAAACCTTGCATTGTATACTACGACTATTGTTGCTTATGTTATTATATTGTAAGTCGCTTTGGATCAAAGCGTCTACTAAATGCCTAAATGTAAATATCAACAAACTGCGAGGATCGCGCTTGGTTTGTTAGGTTAGGTTAGGTACACTTTATTGGAAATTTGTGAAATTTGTCTTAGGCTCAGAAATACAACCACCACATCACATACAACACATAGTAGTAAAGAATAAAAATACAAAAAATTATATGCACATATATATATATACATGTTTGTAATGGTTTGTATTTATGTGGCGTCGAGCAGGAAGCCCCGCCCACACCGTCAGCTCATTGGACCGAAGTACAGCGTCTAATGTATATTAATTATCAAACATGGACGAAGAGAGAGTGACAGTGTAAAAGAGGAGTTTACATGACTAACCATAACCCATGGAAAGCATGCCCTCTAGTGAAGCATCACAGAAATCATAAAAATACAAGGTATGTGTGCAACAGGGTGTGCAAACAGACAGAATTGTTCTGATTGGCCTGTTTTGTGATTGTTTGTCTTGTGTAAAGTAGTGGACCATATATTAACAACCCCGACCTATTTAATTTGTTTACTATTGATTTATGCATATGCTAGCCTGGAGTGCTTGGTGTCATAGATGAGTGCTTTTAAGTGACTGAGTTTGACAGAGGTGCTTTATACATTGTTCTTGTGTTATGTATTATTATGAACAGATACTTGACAATCATTTTACATTTAGTCATTTAGCAGATGCTTTTATCCAAAGCGACTTACAAATGAGGACAATAAAAGCAATCAAAAGCAACAAAAGGGCAATAATATGTAAGTGCAGTTACAAGTCTTGGTTAGCCTAACGCAGTACAAGTAGCAAGTTTTTTTTTTTTTTAATAATAGGCTAAATAAAAAGAAAACAGGTAGATAGAATAGAAAAAGAATAGGGAACTCTAGTGTTAGAGGGTATTTTTTTATTAAAAAAAAAGAAAGAAAGTAGAAATAGAAAAGAGAGTAGAATAGATTTTACTTGAAATACTCTAAATAATCTAAAACAAACCCAGTAAATGCATGTAGTATTATGTTGGCTTCCTGAGATTATAGTGTCTGACGTCTTTTAAAAATATTAAAAATAATATCTGTCATCTGTTCATCAGTCACCCACCACTTCAGTTGCTGTGGTCTTTATCTGTAGCAGACAGGAAGAAAATTGTGATTAAAAAAGGAAGCGAGCTTTCAACTACCAATACATCTTATGGTTCTTATATCTTTTTCCAATATATTTATTAAACGAAATGCACAATTGCTCATCCTACTGTATAGATGTATTTTCATGGAATGACCTGAAAGACCCAGATTCTGAATCTTCTCTGACTGAAAAGTTTTGATGCCCATAACCTCTGTCTATGGATCCTGAAATAATATAGTTATTATTTTCAGTTATGTAGTTTGATGACAGTTATGCTTGAGAGTTTCATATTGTACAGCTGCTGAAGTATAGGCTATTTACTAAAGCATGCACAAAGCAACAGATAGATATCATACCTCTTGATGTAAAATCAAAGAAGTCATCGTCAAATAATGATAGCCTTTTTTTGCTTGATGTTCTGCTAAAATGAGAACACAGTGTTATTTGTTTGTTTTCTTGTTTTGGTCTTTGAATAAGTCACAGAAATAGTTATACAGACCTCTTGGCTCTGTAGAGCACCACAATCATCACAGCTGAAACGATGATAAGTAGAGCAAAAGCTACTAAACAGCCGAAGAGAACAGCGTAGAAACCGGCTCCTCTGCTGTAAAGCTCACACTGAGCTCCATAGTACTTCTCAAAGTAAGAACTGTAACAGCTAGACAATTAGCAAAATGAGGATGAGTTGATAAGAAATGATTTCTTAACTCCTGAAGACATTAACTTTTGCCGATATTTCATTCTTGCCCATCAAATTCAGAAGTGGATTTGTTAAGTTTGAATTGCTTTTTTTAAATATTCTGTTAATTCTTAAAGTAATAAGCTTTTATATAACCTTTTTTTTCAATCTGAGGGCAGCCACTTTAATCATTTGTAGGTAAATATCCTTTGATCAACTGAAAACTGTGCATGTAGTTTTATTAGAATTTGCTTTTAAGGACTTACTTGCACTGTGGTCCATTTATTTCATTTTGGCATTCACCTTGTTGATTGCAGAAGTTGGGATCTTTTTTGCATGATCCCACACATACCCATGCTCCATCTTCAATCTCTACTGTAAAGTTTGCAATATTCATGGTGCATTGCACAAATGGATGTAGATCTGAAATATCTACACGCAACAAAGATAAAAAAAAAATAATCTGATATTCAAATGAAAGATCTCTATAAATTAATACAAAAGTCATTTGAAGCCATATTACACAAACAGTAGAACAGTAAACCATGTGTCCCTTAAATTAAGTCTAGCTTTTTAAAAAAATATATTAAATCAAGGTTATC